TAGAAGATTCAGAAACAATACTAAACACTCACCAACCTTATCTTTGACAAAGGGACCAAACACCTTCACTGGAAGAAAGATAGCCTCTTCAATAGTGCTAGAAAAACTATCTTTCCACTAGTCAAATATTAAAACTATACCCATATGTCTCACCTTACACTAAGCTGAAATTGAAGTGGTTCAAAAATCTAAATGTTAGAACAAAAACACTAAATCTTCTGGAAGATAGAAAATGTAGAACTCTTGAAGACATTGGTATAGGCAAAGACTTTAAGAACAAAACCCAGATCACACAGGAAATATCACAGAGTGTCAACAACTGGGAACTTGTTTGATTAAAAAGTTTTTGCACAGCAAGAGAAATCACCAAAAGTATGATGAGAAAACTCACTATGTGGGGGAAAACTTTGTCAGCTGTTTCTCAGACAAAGGATTAGTATCTTATAATACATAAAGAACTAAAAATGTCAGATTCCCCAAATTCAAAGACCCAATCCAAAAAGGGGCATCAGAAATGAATAGACACTTCCCAGATGGAGAGACAGCAAATACTCGGGAAAAAATGTTCAACATTGCCAGTCATTTGAGAGATGTAAATTGAAATAACCCTGAGATTCCATAACTCTCCAGGAGAAATTGTTGTTATCAAGAAATCAATCAAAACAAGGGCGGCGAATTTAGCTCAGTAGTGCCACTGCCTGCCTTACAAGCACAAGCTCTTGAGTTCGATCCCCTGGCACCAAAAAAATAGAAAAAAGAAAAGAAAAGAAAAAAGAAAAAGAAAGAAATCAACCAATAACAAATGCTGGAGGGGGTTTGGAGAAAAGGAACCGTTCTCCACTGTTGGTGGGAGTGTAGACTGGTGCAAACACTGTGGAAATCAGGTGGAGATTCCTCAAAAAACTAAAACTAGAGGTTCCATTTGACCCAAGTATTCCCCTTCTTGGTATCTTTCCAAAAGAATTGAAACCACAGCAATATATGTACACCCGTATTCACAGCGGAACAGTCTCTAATAGCTAAACCTTGCAAACAACCCAAATGTCCATCAACTGGTGAATAGATTAAGAAGATGTGGTGTTTCCTTATACTTTGGAGTACTACTCTGCAATGAAGAAGGATGCTTTGAGACATTTATAGCTAAATGGATACATTTTAAGATCATGCTCTTAAGTGAAATAAATCAGACACACGTTTAAATATAGCATTGTTTGTGGGGGGGTTTTTTTGGCATGAGAAGCCAAAAGTGGAAATAAGGACTAAAATATATAAGATATTGGAAATTGGAAGAAAATGTTTAAATGAGAAGAGGACAAAGGAGGGAAGGTAGAAGGAAAGAAGGGACAAGAAAAAGAGAAAAGAGAAGAAAATGGTAATAAATCTTTGGTATATAAGAAGGGGAAGAAGGATGGAAGGGAGGGGGAAAATGGGGGAAAAAAAGAAGATATATCATGTACAGGTACAGTTTTCCTATGATGAAAGTTATCATTATGTATATCTAAAGTGTACCAATAAATGTTTTGCTTTTTAAAAAAACCTGACTGGAGAAGTAGATGATCTCTTAATTAAAAATTCCCAGGACACATGAGCAGAGCAGTTCACAAAGCCCTGCATGTGGATTTCTCATGAGAACTGAAGCAGGTTTTTCATAGTATTGCTTAGACCAAGTCAGCCTGAGGAGTGGGTCACACAAAAAGGTCAGACCACATTGAATTTTTGCCACTGTGTTTGCTCTTCCAGAGTTGTCTGCCTTCACATTGTAGGTGCACTTCTTTTCTTACTTTTGCTTGGCCCAAACTCACTGGAAGAATTGCTTTCTTTTCCTACCTTTGTTTTTGTTTTGTTTTGTTTGTACCAGGGATCGAAGTTGGGACCTTGTGCTTGCCAGGCAGGTGATGGAAACACAGCCAAATCCCCAGCTCTTTTCCTACCTTTAATAAAACTTTGCTACCCGTTGACTTGTCTTAATCAATTCTTTGCTCAGGACGGAAAGAGCCTAGAAACCACCTCTCGCAGGAGACTCCAGTACTCTAAAACCCACACAGAATTTGCTCAGAGGCCTCGATTAATTTCACTCACCTTTGTGAAAACAGTAGAACTAAGAGTCGTTGCTTAAAGATTACAGAGACAGTGTTACGAGCTTATCAATGGGTTGTTTGAGGGGAATGGGGCACTATATCCTAAATATTATGTCAGCTCTAAACAGTAACAATGAGTGAATTTATGCAAATAGAACAGAAGGTAAGGCTGGGAGTGTGGCTCAGTAGAAGAGCACTTGCCTAGCTCAGTTTGAGCCCCAACATTGTCAATAAATGACTGAAAGATCAAATGTAGCTGGTTGCCAAAAGGGAAAGAGAACTTATCTACTTTTTTTTTTCTTTTAAACACCATGTATCTGAGAAAACTCATCATAGAAAAACTTCATCTGTGTCTTTGATTCATTCTCAAATCATTTAAAAAGCTACACAAGTGTCTTGCTGGGAGTGGTGGCCCACACTTGTAACCCCCGCATTTGGGAGGTTGAGGCTGGAGGATCAACATGAGTTCCAGGCCAGTCCGAACTACATAATGAGATCCTATCTCAAAAAACAAAAGCAAACAAAGAAAAAGCTATACAAGCATCTTGCCAACATTAGAAATCAAGAATGCTTTTCTGAAATTAGTTCTCTGGTAAACCTCAAGGGCAAGTAGAACCCCTCTTTTCCTGTGGTCTTTTCTTTGAATTTTGTCCTGGCACCTCGCTCTAGACTGTAGCTGCTTGCTTGTCAAACAACAAAATTCCGCTTTTCCTCTGAATAAAGGTAATGAACCAGCACTGACCACGTGATTTCTGGAGGAGCCACATGGAATGCAGAGCCAATGGCAGTCTAGCGCTTTCATCCAGCACGAGCTGCCCTTTAACTTGAGACCGGGTGCTCAGACACAGGTGAGATTTCTCTCCTGTGGCCACCTTAGTGGTTCACATGTGATTGGCACCAGTCTTGCTTGGTGCTTATCTCACAATGAAACTTTTCTGCGTTGTCTGCATCTTTGGAAAGAATTTCTTGAGCTGGCAGGCGATAGTATTATTAATCTTCCACATCACCACCACTACCACCAGCTGTTAAGAAACCACTGGGCAAGATCACTGAGGTATTATTTCAGCTTCAAAAATAAAGTGATTAATCGTTGGTTGTGTAATCTAGATATGCTACAATTTCTTATTCTTTTTCATCCTTGGAAAGCAACGCTGGGCATTTGTGGTGCACTAGCATTGGGGGAAACGTCTGCTAGTATTTCAGGCAAGGGAACATGATATACTCTCCTTCAGCTTCTCAGAATCGGGGTTCTAGCCATAGGGTCGCCGACCTGGAGAGGGCTTGAACTTCGGGATGCTGCGGCGCAGTGGTTTCCAGAGAGCAAGGGGCTGGAAAAAAATGCAAACAAATGCAGGGTTCGGGCCACCGTGGCTCACACTCTAGCCCCTCTGTATTGCTAGACCAGATAAAAGTCCTGATTCGGCTCCCTAAGTCTGGCGACTTTTGGTAAATTCCAGTACGCGAACTTCCAGTGTGCTTTTGCGCATGTGCACCTTGCCAGCTTGTGCGCCTCCACGCATGCGCACCGTCTCTGGTTTGCCCTAGCTTCCGGGGCGTCCCAAGTACCAGCTCCTGTGGCCTTTGGCCTCCGTGGGCGCTTTCACAGGAGCCTGTGGGGCCAGGGACACCGGCGGGGCTACGCCAGGAAGGCTCGAGCCGTGCGACCTAGGGCCCGCGCTACTGGGCGGAGGCT